TTCGTCTGCATTTTGGGTATTTTTGCTTCTTTATTTCACTTATTAGAGTCAATCCTTTCTTGTTTTTATGTTTTCTTGTTTTGTATTTAATTTCTCCACTCATCTTCTTTTTCTTCTTCTACTTTTCTGTGCAGCTTTAGTCTTTTCATGCAAACTCAGGAGAGTACCAGGCAAGGAGTATCAAGTACAAGAAATACAAGAAACAAAGATAAAACAGTTTGTGCCCACCGAATTTTCTGAATTGCCCTTGTCATCGTCAGCGCTGGAGCTTAGACCAGTGAGGATACCGTTGGTGGTAAACTTTCCCAGGTTGTGTTGCCAACTTGCCCTTTCAAAATGCAAAACTCAGGAGACTACATATGAGTCCATATCCAGAAGGCTGACTTTACAGATCACCCAAAAAGATCAATCCACATGCCTCACTGGCAACCCCATAGATAAACTGCTGGAAATGTGACCCGGACTGGCCCAACAACGGCCGGAGCCTGGCGGATTGCACCGTTGGATTTGACCAGTACGCCCTGGGGGAGATAAGGCGGCTAGTACTACATTGGGACTGATTCTTCCGATGATGATGCTGTTAATCCCAAATCCGGGACTCTAAGATATGATGTGATACAGGAGGAGCCTTTGTGGATTGTATTTCCCAGCAATACACACATTAGGCTCAAAGAGGAGCTGATATTTAACAGCTACAAGACCTTAGATGGCCATATCACCGGCGGCAGTTGCATTACCCTGCAGTATTTCAGCAATGTTATCATCATTCACAACATCCACATTAACCATTGTGTTCAGTCAGGTGAGCAGTTTTTTATTTTTTAAAGAATCAAAATTAAAAATGCATTCAAGTACCAAACATGTCAATATATTCGACTCCTTTTCCATTTATCCTTCTCAGTCTTAATAATAACAATATATTGAACAACAGAAACATCTTATAAGTAATGATAAAGGGGCATATCTTCTAATATTATGTGGTTTCTTCTCCATCGATGGTATGATAGAATAATTGTAAAATTGAAAATTTTTAACAATATATATTTTTTTAACAAATTACAATTATTTACCTGTGTTAATTGAGAGATGAAGAAAAAGATTTCATAGGTTTTGAACACAACACACAACCACAGAAGGTAAATAATCAAAATCTAGACTCCATAGCACTGGGTCGAGAGCTAGTCATTCAACAATATTTAAATTTAAATCAATAAGAAAATTAAATCAGTAAAAAAATTAATCAAATTAATAGTTATTAACTTAAAAATTTTAATTTAAGATCTAAATAGAAAATTAGAGTTTTATAATATCAAACATTTAATTTTTTATGTAAAAAAATACTATTTAAATTTAATTATGGCTTCTTGCAACCCCTACTACAAGTATGGGTGCTATTAGAAGATGGATACTGCTTTTATATTCAGTAATTTTTTATCCGATCACTTATGTTGTGTACTGCAGTTTCATTTAATTTGCCACCTCTAATCTAAATAGGAATTTTAAATTTCTCCCCGCAGTTGAGACTAACGTGCGGTCAGAGTCGAGTCCAACGCACTACGGGTGGCGCACGTTTTCGGACGGTGATGGTATCTCCAAATTCGGCGCAAAGGACATATATATGGATAACCACTGCTTGGACGGTTTGGTCGATGCGATAATGGAGTCCACCGGGAGCAGGATATCGAACAGCTTTTCTCCCATCACAACGAGGTGATGCTGCTGGGTCTTAGCGGCGACTACTAGCCGGATTCCGGCATTGAGGTGACCATCACCGTCAACCAGTTTGGGGAAAAGTTATTTCAGAGGATGCCACGGTGCCGGCAGGGGTACATATGCACGTGGTGAACAATGACTACACGCAGTGGGATATGTGTGCCATTGGCGGTAGGGCAAACCCCACCATCAATAGTCAAGGGAATCATTGCTCCTTGACGCCAAGGAGGTACGCTACCCTTCTTCCTCTTCTTCTTCTTCTTCTTCTTCTTCTTCTTCTTCTTCTTCTTCTTCTTCTTCTTCTTCTTCTTCTCTATTTTTTAATTGGGATATTCTTTTTTTAAAAACAATTTGTTTTTTTTTTTAAAAAAAAAAACAAAGTTGTTATTAATAATTTGAATACTCCTACTTACAAAATTACACAAAATAATTAGTTCTTCTTCTTCTGGTCTAATTTAAACTTCTACATAACAAAATGTTTATCATAAAAGTAGGGTTGCACCAAATAGATAAGATGTTTGATGTAATAATTTAAAATTAATGATAAATAATTTTATTTAATTTAATTATTATTACTATTAATGTATTAATTTTATTAAAAAAATATTTTACAATTTAAATTGTACTAAATTACATAATATAAATTATGAATGCAATTATAAGACTATAACTTATTTCTTATTCAATAGTTCATATTGTGTAATTTAGATATTCATTTTTTTTTAATTTGGATATTCTTTATTTAAAAACAATTTGTTTTTTTTTAAACAAAGTTGTTATTAATAATTTGAATACTCTTACTTACAAAATTACACAGAATAATTAATTCTAATTTCAAATCACTATACTAAACTATCCTCCATTAAACATAATTTTAACTAGAGTTAGAACATTTACCTTAAATTTTTAAGTTGATTTTATATGGTACAAGAAATAAAAACAATATTCTTCTGTGCTAGAAAAAAAAATGAAGTCACTCTCTAAAAAATTTAGACAAATCCACACTGCACAACATAAATTATCAATACAAATCATCTGAATATAAAAGTAGTATTCATCTTCTAATAACCCGTATTTGTAGTGCTAAATACAAAATACCATAATCAAATTTAAATATTGTTAAAAATATTTTTATTATTGTTCTTGAATAAATTGACATATATGAGTGAATGCATTTTAATTTTTTTTTTTTTTTTTATAGAAAAAAAGTCTCAACTAACCAAACACAATGGTGAATGTGGATGTTGTGAATGATGACATTGCTGATATACTGCAAGCTAATGCAACCGCCGCCGGTGATATGGACATTAGCTCCGCGGCCATCTAGGGTCTTGTAGCTGTTAAATATCATCTCCTCTTTGAGCCTAATGTGCATATCACCGGAAAATGCAATCCACGGAGGCTTCTCCTGTATCACAGCATATCATCTTAGAGTTCCGGGTTTGGGATTAACAGCATCATCATCCGAAGAATCAGTCACAATGTAGTACTCGCTGCCTTTTCCCCCCATGGCGTTCTGGCCAAACCCAATGGCGTAATCCGCCAGGCGCTGGCGGTTGTTGCCCCAGTCCGGGTCACATTTCCAGCAGTCATCTATGGGGTTGCCTGTGAGGCATGTGGATTGGTCTTTTTGGGAGATATGTAGGGTCTGCCTTCTGGATACGGATTCATTTACTCTCCTGAGTTTTGCATTTTGAAATGGCAACACAACCTGGGATTGCTTACCACCATCAGTGGCCTCACTGGTTTAAGATCCAGCATTGACGACGACAACGGCTATTCAGATGATTTGGCGGGGAACAAACTGTTATGTCTTTGTTTCTTGTATTTCTTGCACTTGATA